TACTCACCTTTGTTATGCAAAGAATATGCAGGAACCTTCTGTAGCACCACAGTTCAATTGAGTTGATTTTCTTTCTTCTCTTGCTTTTTTATGGTCCAACTTTCGCAACCATCGATAGGGATGTGGAACACAATAGAGTGGACTAACTTACATTTGGTTGCCAGGCTGATGTCCTTCCTTTTCCATATTTGCCTCATGTTCATCATTGTTGTGTGACCCAGTGCAATATGACATTTTATTTATTTCTGCATTTACTGCTTTGAGCAATCCGGGACTCTAGCAAAGTGTATTTTTCAACACATTCTATCTCTTCATCATCAATTTATCTTTTAATATTTCCATTCCTTGCAGTGGTCATGAGCTTGTTTTTTTTTTTTTTTTTGATGTTCAGAAAGAGACTAAAATTCTCATTTACTGCTTTGATTTTTCTTGAGCAGATGTTCTGGGCCTTCTTTCGTTTCTGAGAGGAGAGAAGGAGGAGAGGAGAGGAGAGGAGAGAGCAATTGTTGATGTCTCATTTTTCTTTTTGAGAACCTCATCAATTCAATTAAAAATCAACTTTAATATATGCAATTAAGAAGAGTAGGAAGATTTGATCCATGGTGGTAGATATATAGTCTAGAGAATAATTTGAATCCACTATACCAATATTAACAAATTAATGAATTCATTTAAAGTTTTTTCTTGCTGTAAAATTAATTGTTCTAAACCAAAATCAATTAATTTAATTTCAAGATGTCAAAACAATTTTCTATGGCACTTAGGATAGAGCCATAGAAATATTTTATTTCACTTGAAAGTTCTCAGATGACTGAATGTAAATATATTGCTATTTTGGGATGCAAAATTTAAACAACCTTGAATGCAAATGATTAAAACTTTGTGTACTTTCTGCTGCTATCCCATGGTCATGCCAATGTTTGTAGCTGATATTGTATGCTAGACCTTGTAGTTCTCCCTCTTTATTAGCCACCAGTGAGGTGCACTAATGAATAAGTGCATCAATTCCAGTTTGATTTTTATAACTGAGCTAAACCTATCATAAAGGGGAATCCAATTTTGACAACTGAAAAGCAATACCTTTGTTGGAGAATTTGGTATGGTGTGATGTATATACCATAAATCACTTCATGCACTTAGATTATGTGTTTATTTTGGGGGGGAAAACTGCAACATCATTATCATTGACGCAAAGCAGGGAGGAGCAGCAATTCTAGTTCACAATATGTTTTCATCTTTACATACTGGATACTCCTCTAACACTCTTCCCTTAATTATTTAGAAAAGTAATCCTAGAACTTTCATTTATAAGAGATTGTTAGATTATAGGAAACTAGACATTAAAAAATGTAGAATAAGAAAGTATTCCCCGATATGAATAATGGGTTCAGGTAGTGATAAATTCTTCATTGCAGGAGGAGATGTTCCCAAGACTTTCAGGGAGACCTTGGTCTGCTCCCTCCTCAAAAAAAAAAAAAAAAAAAAAAAAAAAATCTTGATACTGTCTGGATAATTTTTGTTCAGTCTCTCACTTTTTAGGAAACATGGTTTAAAAAATGTTTGTGTGGCACCTTGTGTTGATGAAATGGATTATCTGGACTTCTTCCAGTGAGATTTCAAGCACACTATGGAACACAAACAACATTACTTGTATTTATTGATGATTTCTGGTGAGAGTGGGATGGAGGTAGCTCATTCATCCTTCTTCTCCTTGACCCCTCTTTCTCTTTCCACTCTTTTTAAACATCTACATGAAGCTTCTGGGTGAAATCATCTGCCATCAAACAATGAGGTACCATCAGTATGCTGATGATATTCAATTTTACATTTCCATCCATGGTGACCCAAGTGATATTGTCATTGCCCTCTCTGTGTCTGAAGTCTGTGTGTGGGGGGGGGGGTCTGGATGGGGACAATAGGCTTCAATTGAACCCTAGTAAGACTGAATGGCTTTGGATGTGTGGAGATTCAGGATATGGGACTTTAATATCTTTTATTCTGGAAGGGGTTACACTGTCCCAGACAGACCCAGCGCACAACCTGTGGGTTCTCCTGGACTCTTGATTCCTGCTCAAAGGTGGCAATAGTGGCTAGGAAAGCCTTTGTGCAACTTTGTGTTGTGCACCAGTTTGGACCTTTCCTGGATCATGGGTCCATGTGTTCAATTCTTCAGGCCAGGTCATCTCACATCTGGGCTACTGCAAAGCACTCTATATGGAGCTACCCTTGAAAAGTATTTGTAAGCTATAGCTGGCACAGAATGCAGCTGCATAGTCCAGTCTTGGGGCTCCTAGGGCAGCCTTTGTTATATAAGCTGCAAAAGGTTGCCTGTTTGCTTCCAGATCCAATTCAAGTTTATTGCCTTTAAACTCTTTATGGCATGGGTCCAGGTTACCTAAGGAACCATCTCACCAGAACAGGATTGTCTTGCCTAATCCACACTGCTATAAGATGCATGTTGCAGACCCGGTTGATCAAGGACTTCCAGCTGGCAGGATCCAGAAGAGACTTCTTTGTTGGAACATTGTACCTCCTGAGGTGAGAACTGCACCCGTCTTTTAACTTCCCAAAATGGCCTGAAGACTTAGTTATGCCAATTGGATTGAGCTAGGCATCTTTGCAGGACGATTTGGGTTTTAGAACATCACCCTCCAAAATTAGCTAATAGATGTATTGCATCCTTGTTATATGCAGATGATATAGCATTTTATTACAAATGCAAATTAGATCTAGATGAGCTCTGAACACTCTGGCTAATTATTACTTAGAAGACACTTTCAAAATCAAGTATAGTAAAACTAAGATTGTGATCTTTGCAAAAAGATCTAAATTGCACGCTTAGGAAATAAATAATCGGAACATCAAGCAAGTTAAATCCTTTAAATATTTTGGCATGGTTTTCCATAGCTCTACTAAATGCAGTGCACATCAAAATTATGTTATTCAACATGCTCAAAAATGCATTTCTCCGGAGGAGCACAGTATATTCCAGTAGCACTGAAGCTACATTTAGCTAAGGCTTGCACACAATTACTCATTGGTGCTCAGCTGGAATCTTATTCTTATTTTACTCTTCTGGAAAGGGTGCAGTACAAATTTTAAAAACTATATTTCAGATAGTCCACTGTGTCCCAAATGTAGTAATAAGGAGGGAAGCAAGTATCTAAAGTCAAAACAGGTGCATGGACTTAAATTATAACACATACTATAAAATACTGTTTTGTCCCACAGGTTTGAATTCTTTCCTTATAGAGGACAGTTATGGTTCAGGACCATTTCACAAAAACTTCAGTATCTTGGCTTTTCTGGGGAAGTTCTCTTAATGATAGGGCATGAATATGCATTTAGTGTATTTAAATAATATATTAAAGACCAAAGATTAGTTTGTTCTTCCTAAGAACATTTTTTTGAGCAATCTTCTCCTTTTAAAACAGCAAGATACTTATATCATTTAACTGTCCTCAAACTTCAAAGGGCATTAATTTCAGCATGCTGCAATAAATTTTCCACAGCAATGTAGCTAAATTTTGTTGTACCATCTGCAAATAAATATTGAAGTGATACAAGCATGTATTTCAAAGAACCACATTAGACATAGCCCATCTACTTTTTCTACTGAATCATCAGACCGCGTATATAAGAGAGAACCTCAAATCTTTGCCTTAGTTTTCTTTCTCTCCTCCCTAGAAATTTCATTTGAACTTTGCTAACAGTATGTATGGATGGGATTTACAAAACTTTTGTAAACAGATTTAAACTTATTTGAACCACATTACAAAAATTTCGTTGAGATTTTTAGAAAAAATGTTAAGAAGAGGGCATGGAGACAAAAATATATGAAGAACAGTCACAGGAACTGGGCATGGCTAGTCTGTAGAAAAGAAGGCTAGGAAGGGGGCATGATAGCAGTATTCCAGTATTCCACAAAGAAGAGGGGGGTCAACTTATTTTCCAAAGCACCAGAGGGCAGGACAAGAAATTACAGATGGAAACTAATCAAAGAGAGAAGCAACCTTGAATTAAGGAGAAACTTCCTAACAGTGAGGACAATTAACCAGTGGACCAGCTTGCCTTCAGAAATTGTAGGTGCTTCATCACTGGAGGTTTTTAAGAAAAGACTGGACAGCCACTTGTCTGAAATGGTATAGGGTCTCCTGCTTTAGCAAGGGGTTGGACTAGAACAGGGCTTTTCAACCAGTGGTACGGGTACCACCTGTGGTACATTGGCATCTGGCAGGTGGTACACGACCATCCTAGAAAAGTGGTAGCAGGGGAGTGGAATGAGCTGAACTGATGGCAGCACCTCACAAGCCTGAGCGAGAGATGGCTGGAGCTGCAGGGCTGTCAGGGCTCAGCAGAAGTGCCAGGATCAGCACCAGGCTCCAGCTGGAGCTCAGTGCTGATCCTGGCACTTCTGCTGAGCCCAGAAGAAGTGCCGACCAGCTGGAATGTTGCAGCATCTCCACAGTCTTGTGATTTACATTCAGATGCTTGGCAATCAATTCATATTTATGACGGTCACAGTGTCCCAGGGTCATGTGAAGTGACCAAAACCTACTGCAACCACCCAGTAGATGTGGGGAATAAAAACCAAACATCCCCCACCCCACCCTAACTGCCAATCCTCAACAGAAATGCTCACAACAGTGAAAACCTCAGACAGAAGGAAAAGCGCTGCCGGGTAGCCAGACAGGTGTCTTGCTCGGCTGTGGCTTGGAGGGCACTTTTTTTCAGTGCCATTATAACTTCAAACAATACTAAGCGAACTGTTGTAAGTCAAGGACTACCTGTACTTTATCACTTTTTTCCTTTTTTTTTTTTTGGTCATCAAGTTTTTGACACCTTGCTAGGCGACTGGTGGTACTCGGATGTTGCCATATCCTAAAAGTGGTATAATGGGTGAAAAGGTTGAAAAGCCCTGGTCTAGAGTGGACCTTTTAATCATAATTATTATTACTTCTACCATTACTAACATTAATATTTTTAAAGAAAGAATATAATTGACACCGAGGCATTTATTTATTGATCAAATTTGTAATACTGCCCATCGCTTTCCCAGAGGGATTCTGGATGGTGTACAAGCAAATATCTAAATTGACTATTGTGGGACTGCTCCAGAAAAAAAGAAGATACCCACTTCTTAAGTTGAAAAAGACCAAAAAATAGTAAAAAGTTAAGGAAACAAATGGCAAGAAAAAAAGAAAAGAAAAGCACTTTGCATTTCATGACTTCTCTACTAATTTTCCTATCAGAATCTACATTTCATGAATTTATAGGTTATTACCATTCCTTTTTTAAACAACAGATGAAATATAGACAATACTGAATTCTGTTGTTAAATTGTGCCTCTCAAAACGAAGATAATTCAAGACTGAGAAAGCAGCTTATTATAACATTGTTGTTGTTGTTGTTGGTCAGATCAGCGTAACACAGCACAGGTCTTGTAAGGCATGGGAGTGGAGGTAAGCCCAACACAAGGAGTCAGGTCCAGGTCATCTTTAGAAATTCCTGGGGGTGGCTGGAAGGTAAATTTCTGCAAGAGGCTGGTAAAGAAGAGGAAGAGCTCCATTTTGGCAAGGTTCTCACCAGCACATATTCTCCGACCTGGAAGAAAGCATAGATGGCAAGAGAGAGAGAGAGAGGGAGGGAGGGAGGGAGGGAGGGAGATGTGTTTATTGGTTTCTTAAACTATTTCACATGGTTTCCCAATGTCCTATGGCCACAGACAGAGCAGCACACAAGAAAACAATAACAGATCAAAGATATGGAAAGAAGTAAAAATGCAGTAAAGAAATGGAAACAGAGAACTTTTCCAACCACTAAATGGCAGCAGATTTCTTAATTTGTAAATAAAGTAAGAAAAGATGGCAGATTAACGCCAACAAATGGAATAATGCCTCCCTTTTAACTATCTGGCAATGACATTTTATTAGTCCTGCAGATGGGGAAAAAAGGGGTGGGCAATATCCTTAAGTTCTTTATTCCAGAGGAGGGCAATTAATATATTGTGGAGCAAGGTGACAACTGAGATATTTATGCAGCCAAGATAAGTGTTGGCACGCGTGGTTATTACTCAATTGGACGTAATCCAAAATAACTTCATGGGGAAGATTTTAGGCTTCTCCAGGGAATCTCGTCTGCTTATCTAATTCTCTGCTCTTTGGGGAAATTTTAGTTCTTGAAACAGAAAATGTCAGAGAAAGCCTTCTTGAAAAGAATGCTGATAAATATCCGACTGTGGTCAGGATATTTTCATCCTGATAAGCACCCTGTTGAACAGCATGTCTGTCTCTGTGTGGTCTTTCAAGGGGAAAATATTATTGTATCGCTCCTCTACTGCCCAGCTTACAATGAAATCGGGGCCAAACTACTAACAGTAGGTGAGCTGAAGGGCTTGGACCTCAAATGACTGAATTAGGTTATGTTAGATGTGTTTCAAACCATTAGAATTCAGGGTTCTGTTTTTGCTTCGTTGTCATTTAAACTTAGAAAGAATTGTTTAAATTGTACTTAATTGTAGCTCTGGTTTAATTTTAATCCAGTTCCCTTCTCTCTAACACTCTTATTTTATTTTGCTTTGTTGCATTTTACGCTCTGCCACGTTGCTCTGACCTAAGAATAAAAGCTTAAGTAAAGCTAATAAAGGGTCCAAGCTAAGAAGACCCAAAGCTCTATGTCCATTTGAAGGCCCCAGTGAGCCAGGAAGGCTGAAAGATAAGATTCCTCCTGGACTGCCAAAACGCAGAGATGCTGAGGCCAGCACAGCAGGAGTAACAGTAACTCAGGCACAGAGCTGAGGATTCCCCTGGCAGACTCTGGAATCAACATACTCGTCCCTGAATGAGCCTGTCCATGAGGCCTAAACTCTTGTCAGAATAAGGTCTATGAGATCAAGCTTTTATCAATTGTTTTCAACAAGGAATTAAGAGTTGCCTTTTATAGAACACACACTCTAAGACATCAGAGAATCTCACCTGCAGAAAATGGCATGAATGCATCCCTTTTCACAAATTTTCCTTCAGAGTCAAGAAAATGCTCAGGATAGAAGTCGTGAGGCTTCTCCCACTGAGATTCATCATGGAGCACAGAAGTCAGCAAGGGAATGATGTACGTACCCTAAAAATTGAAAGGATAAAAAAAGTATATGAAAAGGAGTATGTCCTCTTAATACAGGGCTTTTCAACCAGTGGTATGGGTACCACCTGTGGTACATTGGGACTTGGCAGGTGGTATGCAACCATCCTAGAAAAGTGGTAGTGGGGGAGGGGAATGAGCTGAACTGGTGGCAGCACCGCATAAGCCTGAGCGAGAGATGGCTGCAGCTGCAGGGCTGTCAGGGCTCAACGGAAATGCCAGGATCAGTGCCATTTTCCGTCTGATTGGTGCTTCTTTGGGGCTCTCAGGGCTCAGTGGAAGTGCCAGGATCAGCACCAGGCTCCAGCTGGAGCTCGGCACTAATCCTAGTGCTTCTTCTGAGCCCAGAAGAAGCGCCGATCAGCTGGAATGTTGCAGTATCTCGAGGATCTTTTGATTTACATTCAGATGCTTGGCAACTGATTCATATTTATGATGGTCAGAGTATCCCAGGGTCATGTGAAGTGACCAAAACCTGCTGCAACCACCCAGCAGATGGGGGGAATAAAAACCAAACACCCCCCCACCCCACCCCCATTGCCAATCCTCAACAGAAATGCTCACAACAATGAAAACCTCAGACAGGAGGAAGAGCGCAGCCAGGTGGGCAGGAAAATGTCTTGCTCGGCTGTCGCTTGGGGGCACTTTTTTCAGTGCCATTGTTAACTTTGAACAGTCACTAAGCAAACTGTTGTAAGTTGAGGACTGCCTGTACTTTTATCACTTTTTTTCTTTTTTTGTTTCATCAAATTTTTGACACCTTGCTTGGCGACTGGTGGTACTTGGATGTTGCCATATCCTAAAAGTGGTACAAGGGGTGGATGTGTGGTGGTGACATCCTGTGTGGTTTTTGTGAGTGTGCGTCTGGTATCATTTTTTGTGTTAGGGAGTCGTTTGTCAACTTATTCAACTTAACAGAAGAATAAGTGCACGCATTGAAGAATATAAGAACTCAGTCAAAAAAGAGGAACCAACATCTTCCCTGGTCCAACACCTTAAAGCCACAGGACATGAAATTGACTTTAAAAATACCAGAACCATTGCCAAAGTGAACATTTTAATAACAGAATAATCAGAGAAGCCATCGAGATAGAAAAACGCCCACACAGCATGAACAAGCGAGATGATACCTCCCGCCTACCAGCCATTTGGAAACCCGCCCTTATTGACAAACGACTCCCTAACACAAAAAATGATACCAGACCCACACTCACAAAAACCACACAGGATGTCACCACCACACATCCACGCAAAAAACAAACCCAAAGCCACACCGATGACGAGGCACGACCACAAACCAGAAGCCAGACCACAGCTGCATCATTAGCCACTTTAAACCCCTCCAATCCATACATGAAGCAAACTGATACCCTCCATGAAGATGAGGCACGACCACGAACGCGAAGCCAAAAAATAGCAAGGCAGCCCAAAATCTTAAACCCCCCTGCAACTCAGACTAACCTGAGCACAACCAAACAGAACACTCCCCCAGCCAATCAGAGCACAGCCAATCCCCCAGCCAATCAGAGCACAGCCAACTCCCCAGCCAATCAGAGCACAGCCAAGCCCCTAACCAATCAGAACACACCTCCACCCAATCAGAACACAGCCAAGCTCCCACCCAATCAGTTCATACCCCCACTGGCAGTTAAAAGGAAGAAACAGCTAAGACCACACATTGCTGCTCGAAGCACGAAGCTGAAAACACCAGCCTGAAGATGACGAATGGGACTTCGTCGAAACGTCGCCAAGACACTTCCAATTTTACGCGGGAGAAAACCCGAACAACCAAAGACCTACATACAAACACCCGCGAAAACCTCAGAAAACAAATATCGAACCTCTACGGGGAGGAAATCCACCATCTGACTAGGACCTATGAAAAACTTGAAGTCCAAAGAGCTTCCATTTTATGCGACCTCGCATTCCTACGCAACTGCCGAGATCAAAATCTAATCCCCACATGTTTCCCACTGAAATTCCACTCCAACTCTGCAGCCACCAAACGGATCCTGAAAAGAACAGAATTGGCCCTAATCAGAAATGAACTTCACACAAAAATGGAGATCATGGAGACATGATCTGGAATTAGGAGGAATAGAGATCTCACCCTTGTCATGGACAGATCATTTCCTATTGAGGCTGGACTTCAGAGCATCACTCCCCCATCGCAGGGAGAGGGAGCCGACTAGGTGGTTTCGCCCCAGGCGCCTAATGGACCCAGATCAGTTCCAGGAGGAACTTGGGGAAATAACTGACTCCCTTGTCCACAACTCGTCCGGGTCCCTGGTTGCAGCCTGGAATGAAGCGGCGTCCGGGGCCCTGGATCGAATTGCGCCTTTGCGACCTCTCTTTGGTGCTGGTCCCCGGAGGGCGCCTTGGTTTACCGAGGAGCTCCGGGAGATGAAGCACCACAAGAGACGTCTAGAGCGACGTTGGAGAGCCAGTAACTCTGAATCTGACCGATCACTATTAAGAGCCTACCTTAGGACTTATTTAGTGGCGATAAGGGCGGCAAAGCGTGTTCACTTTTCCGCACTTATTGCGTCCGCAGAATCTCGCCCGGCCGCCCTGTTTAGGGTGACCCGCTCCCTTCTTAAAGTGGAGGAGGCGGAGGAACCCTTGCAGGGGAGAGCTGAGGAGTTTGTTCAGTTTCTTTCGGACAAAATCGCTCAGATTCAGAGAGACCTGGACTCCGACTGGGCAGTGCCAGCCGAGTTGCCAGGGGCTGGTCTTACTCATGTTATCTGGAGCGAGTTTGAGCCTGTGACCCCTGATGAAGTGGACAAGGCCATGAGGACAATGAATGCCGCCACCTGTTTATTGGACCCGTGCCCCTCCTGGCTGGTCTCTGCCAGTAGGGAGGTGACATGGGGCTGGCTCCAGGCAATAATCAATGCCTCCTTGATGGAGGGGTCTTTCCCGCAACCTTTAAAGGAAGCGGTGGTGAGGCCCCTCCTCAAGAAGCCTTCCCTGGACCCAGCTGTTTTGAAGAACTTTCGTCCTGTCTCCAACCTCCCCTTTGTGGGGAAGGTTGTAGAGAAGGTGGTGGCGTCCCAACTCTTGCGATCCTTGTATGAAACTAATTATCTGGACCCTTTTCAATCTGGTTTCAGGCCCGGCTACAGCACTGAGACTGCTTTGGTCGCACTGACCGATGACCTCTGGTGAGCCTGGGATAGGGGTCACTCCTCTATCCTGGTGCTTCTTGACCTCTCAGCAGCTTTCGATACCATCGACCATGGTATCCTTCTGTGTCGTCTTGGAGAGGTGGGGGTGGACGGCACCGTATTGCGGTGGTTCTCCTCCTACATCTCTGACAGGTCACAGTCGGTGTTGGTGGGCAGACAGAGATCGACCCCTAGGCGCCTCGATCATGGGGTGCCTCAGGGCTTGGTCCTGTCCCCCCTCCTTTTTAACATCTACATGAAACCGCTGGGTGAGAACATTTGGCGACACGGGGTGAGGTATCATCAATACGCGGATGATACCCAATTATATATCTCCACCCCATGTCCTTTCAGTGAAGCAGTCGATGTGATGTGCCAATGCCTGGAAGATGTGAGGGTCTGGATGGGGGTGAACAGGCTTAGACTCAACCCTGACAAGACCGAGTGGCTCTGGGTCTTGCCTCCCAAAGGTCAACTGGATGGTCCATCATTAGTCCTGGGGGGGGGCAAATTTACCTCCCTCAGTGCAGACACGCAACTTGGGTGTCCTCCTGGACTCACAGCTAAATTTGGAACAACATCTATCGGCTGTGGCCAGGGGGAACTTTGCCCAGGTTTGCCTGGTGTACCAGTTGCGGCCTTTTCTGGACCGAGAGGCTTTACTCACAGTCACCTCAAGACTGGATTACTGTAATGCGCTCTACATGGGGCTACCCTTGAAGAGCGTCCGGAGGCTGCAGTTGGTTCAGAATGCAGCCGCGAGAGCGATTGTGGGCGCGCCAAGGTACGCCGACATGTCACCTATCCTCCGCGAGCTGCACTGGCTTCCCGTGGGTCTCCGGATGCAATTCAAGGTGTTGGTTATCACCTTTAAAGCCCTTCATGGCATAGGGCCAGGTTACTTACAGGACCGCATACTGCCGCACAGTTCCCAGAGACCGGTGAGGTCCCATAGATTGGGCCTCCTTCAGGTCCCGTCAGGCAGACAATGTCGGCTGGCGGGCCCTCGGCGAAGGGCCTTTTCTGTGGTGGCTCCGACCTGGTGGAATCAACTTCCCCCCGAGGTTCGAACAACTCCCACCCTGCCGGACTTTAAGAAGGCCGTTAAAACCCTCCTGTTCCGGCAGGCCTGGGGCTGATGTCCCCGGGGGGGACTGGGACATGATCGGACTTGTGGTATGATTGTATTATTTTATTGTTTTATTCTCGATAATTGTTTTAATTTTTTATGCCGCCCTGAGTCCTTTGGGATTGGGCGGCATATAAATTAAATTAAATAAATAAATAAATAAAAAGATTCCTCCTAGACCGAATTAACAAAGATCTCCTCACACTCCACCTCAAACTCAGCAACAAGATCCACCCCGCACTTTGGGAGAAATCCAAACAACTCGCCGTCTGGAGAGCCAAAACATAGACCACCCTCAAGACAGATACACACACCAACAAACTCCGAAGACTACAAGAATGCCAGAAACAAACCCCTCCTCCCTCACAGCCACACATTAAACAAACAGTGCATAACATCTCAGAAAGGATCCTCACCAAAGCAGAAACCAATGTCCTTTCCAAAGGATTCAACTTTGCATTCGCTCCCAAACACATCCTCACTGAAACCATTATATGTGGAGTTGAAACCAGCCTGACCAAAATCAACCCCGATGACGCTAACAGAATCAGACTCGAAATCACCAACATCCTCTGCACCAGCAAGCCACCCAAAAGCAACTTATCCAAAGAGGAACAGACAGCACTAAGTAACCTGAAAGAAGACACCAGCATAATAATCCTACCAGCAGACAAGGGCAATGC